CTAGGGGTATTTTAAATTGGTTTTAACTAAATTTTAGTAGAAGCGGCCTATTTAAATATTTATTTTTAATTATTCTCTTAAATTTTATATTTTGTATTTGTATCAAACTGTTTTTAAACTGGCTGTAAGCCGCCCTGAGTCCTCCGGGAGAAGGGCGGGGTATAAATATAATAAATTCAAATTCAAATTCAAATTCAATAGATGGTGTTTCTCATAGGTAATTTCAGGAATAGGCCCTTCATAGTATTAGCTGGGGTTGTGGCTCTGGAACTTTTTCCTGTCTAGTTATATAGAGCGCAACTAATGATGAGCAGGAAAGCTCTTAAAGGGTTCTGTGATTTCATGCATTAAACTCTAATGTAGTTCTTTGTAGCAGACTGGGCTTTCCTATTTTATACCATGACCTATGATTTAAATTTAAATAGCAGAATTTCAATTTCATATATATCAAACCTTAGTTTAGTGTTTTAATATAATAAGCAGCAGAAGCTGAAAGGGTTTTTTCAAAGATGAACATAGTATGTTCAGAGAAGAGAGGTCGCCTGTTTCTAATATATCAAACACAATGACTATTAGTCTAATCAGCCTACCTCAAAAGGAACCCTACTCCTACAGTGAAAAAAAGATGGTTAAGGATAAATCACACAGCCGATGATGCTCGGATAAAAGCCAAGAAAATTGCAAGTGAGGATGCCTATTAAGAAGCAATATGGAAATATCTTAAATAACAGTTTTATTGTTTTTGTCAGGTATTATTTAATATTTTTTCATTAATACTTTAAAAAATCTTTCTTTTAACATAATCTATTTTTAGCTCTTTGAACACTTTCAGGAATTGCACAGTTCTGGGAAGTTTTGTGTACGTCTTTTATTGTTCTTATTTAAGTATTAAATGCATGAAATAATAAACTACCTTTCAGTATATTGTTTTTTAATACTTAAAACAGTCATTAGAACAGAGAACCGGTTGTTAAATTATTTGAATCCCACCATTTCCCACAATCACCTTGTAAGATTGGGCTAGAAAATGACAACTCTAAGCTCACTCAGTGAACTTGTAAGGCTGAATGTGACCTTCAACCTGGCTCTCTTATCTGTCTTATTTTTACCTTCCTCTTCAAAACAGTGCTGCCATCTTATCTGGATAACAATTGTCAATTAGCAAAATCAGTAGTCTTCATGGTTAAGAATAACACAAATTGCCCTCTAGTACACCCATTATGCTAGAGAGATCTCAGTGGCTCTTTTTTATCCCAGATATGTGGCCATGTGCATATGAATTAAACATACAAGCCACACAATACACAGCAATCATCTGTGTCAGAGCTCCCAGACTCGGGAATGAAGGTTATGTTCCAGGATAAATGTTGCAGGATCCAATCTGAGTTGATCACCAGGACCAAAGGTTTATTCTTCCAAGCGTTTGGGCTTGTGCTGGAGCCCATCATCAGTTCCCATACTCCCCTCCCCTCACAAAAAGACATACCTGGTATGTATTAGAAGGGGGGAGGGGCGGAAATTTAAATTGTTTCCCATATCACTTCTGCAGCTTTAAAGTGTAAATTTATATTTTTAGCATAAACATTGATCTAAGTGAAAGGCCAATCAGGGTTTTAATATATCTGAATATATATTATAAATATATGAATATTTTCAAGCCACATTCCTTATTTTATGGCATATCATTCTTCCAAAATAATTTTAACACTTAATACAAACATGACTAAAATACATTATATGTAATAATAAAAGCATAGACACCCAAAGGCATGTAGAATAATCTCAAATGGCTCCCTGGTATAATTATTACATGCCAAATAAATGCAGCATATTAGATGTCTCAGTTTCATTAAAAAGCTGACCCAAAGCTATTTAAACATAAATAACACAATTTTATTCTGCTAAATATCTGAAAAAATAATTGCATTTATTCATAATGGCCTTTTTAAAATATCATAAGGAAAGAATTCTTCTGAGGAACAGTATACGTTTCTCTCTCTTCTCTTTGGATTCTACTCCCAGCAAAAGCTGGACAAACTACACAACCCTGGCTTGTTTTTCCCAAACAGTTTACAAATGGAAGTGAAATGGATGGGTGGGTGGACACAGTTTCAGATATTGTCTTATAGAAGGTGAATGAGGAACAAAGCTGGAACACTTAAACAGAAGGTACCAGCAAATTGCTTATTGATGGTGCTAAAATTCTGAATGGTCTTGATAGATAAATCGATCTAGGCAATGAAAAATCAAGAAGCTTAACTCATGCAGTTAAGATCCACACAGTATTTGCTCTTTCCCATTTAGCCAATTATCTATTACACAGGGATAGCTCTGATGTCACATCTGAACCTGGAATTGCACACTGTGTCAAGAAAAGCCAAGATCACAAACCCACTTGTGGATAGATTGCAAATATTTCCTTAAAGGCAACGCAGCACAGTCCTAAGGTTGATATGTAAACCAATATCCTTTTCTGCTTTGTTTGCCATCTGATTTGAGCAATAAAACAGAAATGTCAAGATTGACCAATTTTTTTTTGATCTGAGACGTCTTTAAAAAGAAAAATAAACCATAGGGTGGCTTTGAAAATCTCCATTCTTGTTATAATAGAATAACCAATTACCTCCTCCAGAAGAGTAATAGTAAACTGTTAATGATGAGGCTTAACATTATAAGTAGTCTTGACTTATAACCATTTATTGACTGAAGTTACAATGGCACTGAAAAAGTGACCATTTTTCACACTTATGACCAGTTCAGCATCTCTGTAATCACATGACCAAAATTCAGAAATTTAGCAACTGGCATTTATTTATGACAGCTGCAGTGTTCCTGTGTCATGTGATCACCTTTTGACAAGCGAAGTCAAAGGGGAAGCTAGGATCACTTATAACCTGTGTTACTAACTTAATAATTGCAGTTATTCACTTAACAACTGTGGCAAGAAAGGTCATAAAATGGGGCAAATTTGACTTAATTATCTTGCTTAGCTATGGAAATTTTAGGCTCAGTTGTGACCAAAAGTCAAGTACTATCTTCTATTCTAGTCCTGACAGAAAATAATATCTGACCATCTACCTCAGGGGTGTCAATCTGTTGGCCCACGGGTCGGATGCATCATAGCAAAACTGCGCCCACCCCATTACCGGCAATGGCAAAAAAGTCACAATACGTCACAACACGTCATGTGACATTGCAAGTTTGACACCCCTGATCTACCTCAATTTTTCAAAGTTCACATTTCTTTAAATGACACTAAGCACTCTCACTCCATCCAAAGGGAGTGCTATCTATTGGAGGTGCTCTTTTATAAAACTGCAATCATGGACAAATCAAATATCCTGAATGCATTTTCCTTTAGATAATCCACCGTTCCTCAAAAAAGAAAGAAAAATTCTCCAATATCACCAGGATGAATTTCAAACAATAAAACACATAGTAGACCTAACATATAAAGAAGGAGTTTGGTTACAAAATCAGGGGCACACAAGAAACTGGACTTATTGCTATCCACCACTGAAATATCTTTCTCATGACAAGTTGAGGTGCCTATGCATTTGACATAAGAAGGAAGATGCAATGACGTCGTCACTAACAAGTCCCCGCTGTCACGTTTCTTCACCTCTTCTACTACAGATTAGGGATTTACGTGGCTTAATGAGCTGCATAGCGAGCAAATAAATAGTCCTAAAAATACAAAGCTGCACCTGTGGCTGCTCGTTGCTCACGATCTGTGACTCTCCTTGAAGCCGATGCAAAAGGTCTCTCTCTTGGGCCTTTTGGAGCGAAGCACGCGTTTCGCGCATAAGACCCATGCTGGTTCCCCGCCGTTTCCATTCCAGAGGCGCTGAGACGCACGGTTCCCTACCGGGTTGAACCTCCAGTCACACCTTCATGGTTGGAGAGAAGCCTGCAACTGAGTTACATCGCCAGTCCCTCCTTCGGTTCCTTCCTGCTTTCCCTCCCGCTCGAGAAGCGCAAGGAGACAGCCTCTAAGCATTGCTCGTTTGCAGCCTAGATCAGGGGAAGACTTAGTGTTCCCCGAATACCACCCAGCCCTTCGCATTTCCTACCTGCTGCCGTTGCTGGGGCAACTGCTCCGGCTGCAGTTGTTAGAGGTGTTTCTTACGCTCGGCAAGAGGAGGAAGCCTCCCCGCCGTCTCCCCCGTAACAGCAGGAGGCGGCTGGGGACGCCTGTCGCCGCCATAGCGAGGTCTCTGGGTATTCACCAAGCGGGCTGCCTTTGAATCGGCCCCGCCTTCTTCCTGCGCTGTTCCGAGATGGCTGCGGAGATGCTCTCTGCCTGTGCCGCCAGAGGCAATTATTTTTGAGGACTGACTTGCTGTATCCTTTGGGGAAGGAAAGAGAATTTGTTCCCCAGAGAATGGAAGGCTGAACAGATGCAACCCTGCAGCCCATGAGCAAAGAGCTTTTTTAGGAGGAGCAATGAGGACCAATCACGGAGGCCCCATCTCCAAAATATGGTTTAATACTACTACAAATTATTGATAGAAGATTGTCCTTCGAGGCAGGCACATCACACATTATACCATAATATCAAGAAGGGTTGACTCCCATCCATCTGGGATACATTGTTTTTGTGGCAGATTAAAGCTACCATATTTAGTTTGCAATCTCCCCTCGCCCCCACCTCACCCCGACCACCACACCACCCCCGTGACTGCTTCATAGCAACAAAGACTATTGCTTTCCTAGTGTATATTGTGATCTTGCCAGTCAAACATGGTAACCTCACACATGGACTCAGTCGTGGGATTCAAATATGTGAACAACCGGTTCTCTGTGTGGATGCTGCTTCCGGAAGTCCATTCTGGACCTGGGCAACAAAAAATTAGCTACCGGTTCTGCCAAAGTGGTACAAACCAGCTGAATCCCACCACTGCATGGACTCCTGTTTACTAGGCTGTGGTGCAGTGCATGGATTCAATGAACATTTTCTCCCTGTACCTTAAACCAAATTTTTATTATGGCCAGCAGAGGGATCCAAATACTGTGTAAAGCTAGTTATGCTTCCCCCCCCTTCTAGTGTCTGCTTGTTTTGCACTGAATTTAAAAGAAAAATATCCCACCTTTACTATTATTATAAATAACTAAAGTTAGTGAATATATCTTTTTTTTTTTCAATAAAAATTTTATTATTTTCATCATAAAAAAAAACATCACAAATATGACACAATATAATATAAAACCCACATCCCCCACCGACCCACCCCCCGAGACTTCCCAAACCTAATCCCAGGATAGTATTCAAATATAAGTAAACAATTAATAATATCTCTAACTCCACAAGGTCTATAAATTTTACATGAATAAGTGAAATATATATATATATAAAAAAAGAAAAAAACCAGTTAATTAAAAACCTAAGTTATATTCCACTATTCTATGCTTCTTTTGTATATAAACAATCCATCTTCTCCATATAGATAAAAATTGTTCATTTGAGTGATTCTTCAGATAAGCTGAAATCTTTGCCATTTCAGCAAGATGCGAAACTTTCAATCTCCAATCTTCCATTGTTGGTAAAATTT